GCCGCCTGGGGCGAATCTCGGGCGTCTTGGGCCCATCTGTAAGCGTGCCGGGGCTCTCCGGGGCCGTCTTGGGGGCTTCTGGGGGCCCTCTCGACATGTCCTGGGGCCTGCCTGGGCGGCCCGGGGCGCCCCGGGGCCAGCCCGGGGCGGTTTTGAGACATTTGAGCCTGCTCACCCTTCCCGCACGCACGTGCCCCTGCAATGTAGTAGAGAAGACTAGGGCAAACCCGTGGACTTCGTCCACGACCAGCAGGTCCCCCTGGCGGGCCTCCACGTTGGGCCCCCGTCCAGGAAAAAGCCACCCCGAAGCCTTCGGTTACTTTTTCCGGTCGCCATTCCGAAGTTGGAAGGCGGGCGCTTCCTCCTCTCCGTCCGCCTTCCGCTCCACGTCCGCCTGGACAGCCTTCGGAGCATCACAGACGGCTATGGTGGGTCTGCGGTGTGCCTCCCGCCGCTTGTCTGCTCCCCCTGGTTTGAACCATTTTGAGAGCACCTGGGGCCGAGAAAAAAGTCACCCGAAGGGCTCTGGTGACTTTTTTCTGGTTGACTTTTCGAAGCCTGATAGCGGGCGCTGCCATCTGCTTGAGAACTGTTTGGGGGCCTCTCGGGGTTCCTTTTCGGCCTCCTGGGGGCCTCTTGGGGCCCTTTTGGGCCGGCTTGCGGCCTCCTGGGGTCCTCTTGGGGCCCTCCCTCTTGGGCCGCCTTGGGTGCCTCTCGGGGCCGTCCGGGGCTGTCTTAGGCCGTCTGGGGGCCGTCTAGAGGCCCTCTGGGGTTTTGTACTTCACCGATCGCTCTTTTAATGGGCGTCTCTGGGCCTGCTTGGTGGTCCTTGAGGGGATCTTGTTCGGGCCATTCTGAAGCTTTTCTAGGTTGCTCTGGGAGCGTTTTGGTAAGTCTTGAGGCCATTCTGGGCCGTCACGGGGCGTCTGGGAGGCCTTGAACCGTCTTGGAGCTCTCGTGAGGCTGCCTGAGGCCGTCTTGGGAGCCTCTTGGGGCCCCTCCGAGCTCTCTTGGGGCCGTCTTGGGGTCCTGTGAGGCCGTTTCAGGGCTCTCTGGCGTTGTCTTGGGGCTCTGATGGGCCGTCTTGGAGCCCACTTAGGGGCCGCTGGCGTCTTCTTGGGGCGATTTGGGAGGCCTCTTGGCGTGTCCTGGGCCGCTGAGGAGCACACAAGGCGGGCATGCTGAAAATATACGCTTTCCTATAGGAATTTGACGATTTGTGCCTCTTTGGCGTGCGCTCGGGGCCCTCTTGGGGCGTCTTTGCGACCTCTTGGATCGTCGTGGAGCCCCCACCGGAAGGCTTCGGGCCCTCGTGGGCCGTCTCGAGACCCTCTGAGGCCATCTTTGTTGCTTGTTTCATTTCTTTATCGTCCGGTCGTGCCAATCGTCGTTTCTACGACGACACTTCCAAGAGCACAAGCATCCAGGGTCTCTGGGGGCTTCTGCTTGCCTCTTGAAGGTCTCTTGGGCTGTCCCAGCGCTGTCTCGGGCGCCTACCAGTCAGTCTTGAGGCCGTCTGGGGCCCCTTGGGCCGCTCTTCGGGCTCGCTTGGGGTTCTCTTGGGCCGTCTGGGCGTCGCTGGGGCCGTCCTGGGGCTGGCTTGGGGCGTCTTGTGGCCGTCTTGGAAACCTTCTGGGGCGTCTTGGGGCAATCTTAGAGGGTTGCAACATGTCGAGGGCTGATCGGTAGGCTCTGCCCACGAAAGCAATAATGTCAGCGTGTGTCTGCTGTCGCTTGTTGCGCTCGGTTGCTTTTCTGCCGTTTCATTCCCAATGCGCGCGTGATTTGTTTGGCCTGCACCGTCTTGCCGTGTGCGTGATGCTTGCTTGATGTCTGCTTGCAGGTCCTGCGAGTTGCTCCTGTTTGCCAGGGCCCTCGGAGCGTGGAAAACCACCCCTTCGGCCGTGCGATGAACCTCTCGCCTCTCGTCCGCTGCCCGTGACTTGAAAGCAGCTTTGGAGCCGGGGGGCCTCCTGGAAGCCGTTCGGGGGGCCTCTTGAGTGAGGGATTTTTCAGCCTCCTGGGGGCCACTGGGGCCGCCCTGGGCGCGGCGTGGGCCGCCTTGGGGCTGTCTCGGGTGGCTCCCGGGCCCTCCTTGGGGCCTTCTTGGGGCCTCTTGGGCGCCTCCTGGGCCGTCTTGGAGCCCTCCTGGGTGGTCGTGGGGCCTTCTCCGGATCCTCTTGGACGGCCTTGGAGCGTGCGGGGGAGCCCCAGCAGCCGCCTTGGGCCAGTCTTGGCTCGAAATGGCGAGAGGGCGGAAATCTTCCAAAAACCATAGGACACTCAATAATTTCATTTGCCGCGGCCCGTCTGGACAGCCTCTGGGGCCGTCTTGGGGCCATATCAGGGGTGTTGGGCCGTCTCGGAGCTCTCTGTGAGCCCTCTTGGGCGGCTATTGGGGCCCGTCTGGGAGCTCCTGGGAGCTCTCTCGGGCCGTCTTGGGGCTCTCTTGGGCCGTCTTGGGCTCCTCCGGGAGCCATCTTGGAGCACTCCTGAGCCGTCGTGGAGCCCTTGGAACATTCGTGGGGGGCCTGGGAGCCGTCTTGGGCAGCTCCTGGCTCGAAATCGCGAGAGCGAGGACCTGAAAATCAGGTCAACCAATCGGAAAAAAAAAAGGTTGGGCCACCGCGAGCCATCTGGACGGCCTCTTGGGCCGTCTTGGGGCCATGTTGGAGCTCTTGGGCTCTCTGTGAGCTCTCTTTGGCGGCAATCAGGCCCGTTTAGGGGCTCCAGGGAGCTCTGGCAGGCCGTCCTGGGGCTCTCTTGGGCCGTCTTAGGGCTCCTCTGGGAGCCGTCTTGGAGCTCTCCCTGCGCCGGCTTCTGGCACCTGCCGGAGCTCCTGGGCGGCCCTAGAGCGCTCGGGGGAGGGCCCGAGAGCCGTCCTGGGCCGCTCCTGGCCCGAAACGTCGCGAGGGCCCGAAGATCTCACAAAAATCACAGGAGCATCGCAGGCGTTCGGCCGCCGCGGGCCGTCTGGACGGCCTCGGGGGCCGTCCAGACGGCCATGTCGGGGCTCGTGGCCCGACCTCGGCGCTCCCAGAAGGCGTCCCGCGGCGTTCTCGAGCCGCCCAGAGGCACGCGGGGCCGCGCCGGGGACGCCAGGGGCCCGCCGAGGCCGAGTTGGGGGCACTTCCTCCGATTCCCTTCCTGCACGCGCTTCCCCTGGCCGTGTAGGGAGAGACCAGGACTGGCCCAGGGGCTACGCTCACGAAATTTGCACGAGCTGGCATGTGGTGGTGGGCTCGCTGCCAAAAGCCTGACATGATGATGTGGGGCTCGACCCTCCCATTCCGCGCATGCTACTGCGTGCTGCTGCTTGCTGCCGCTGCTGCGTGCTGCTGGCAATGGTCACCGCTGCGTGCCGCTGCTGCTTGTAGCTGCAGGGTGCTGCTGATGGCCAGTTCTGCTTCGCGCGTGCTGCTGACCGCTGCCTGCTGCTGCTTGCTGTTGCTGTGCGCTCCCGCTGCTGCTGCCCGCTTCGCGCTGCTGCTGTTCGCTGCTGCTGCTTGATGCCGCAGGGTGCTGCCTCTCGCTACTTCGATCGAAGAGGGGGGAGTCAGCATCGAGAACGTCGAGGACATCAAAGGGGAGAAAAGATGGGCGGTCAGCGAAGAGCGAAGCGCGAAAGGGAGGCATGACGACCGAGGGGAGGTGGGCGAGGAGCGTCGAGGTTCGAGGAAGTTCGTCGTACTCGTAAACGTCTGGACTTTTGTCGGGCTCTGGAGCGGAAAAAAAAACGATCTGGAGTGAGAGACCGGTCCGGACAGACACCCCCAGGGTCCAGGGGCCGACTCCTCAGAGGGGATGGTGGGCTGGAGGCTGGAGGAGTCGATGTCTGCTGCTTGTTCGCTCGGCCTGCTTGCTGCTGGTGCTGCTTGCGAACAGTTCGCCTCTTTGCAGTGGCTTGTTGGTTGCGTTCCGCGTGTTTGCTTGCTTGCTGGCTGGCTGGGTGGCGCCCTTGCTTGCTGCTTGCTTGCTTGCTTGCTTGCTTGCTGGCTGGATTGCTGGTTCGCTGACTGCTGGCTTGCTGATTGCTACTGTTTGCTTTCGGAAGCTGTGATGTGGTCTCCTGGGCTCAATATGAGCCTCATCATGCCTTCTTTCAGGCGTCTTGGGCTGCAACTGGAGGCCAGCTGGGCCTTCGGGGGGGTAAAGGGGCTGCGGGAGGGGGCGTCTTGGGCTGCCCTGGGACCATCTTGAGCCGCCCTGGGGCAGCATTGGGGCCAAAGCTGGACACAAAGAAGCGCACAGATCGGCGGTGGACAGGCCTCCCTGTAGTAAACCTCCCCCCTTAGTGAAAACGGCCTGGGACCGGAACCGACGGGCCTGGACCCGCAAAAACGACGGCCGCGGCGCCCTCTCGCGAACCGAAAACGGCCAATTCCTCAATCGGCGTGTCAGGGTAGGAGGTCTATCAACCTGCGCACAGATGCTTGAGCTCTCACGATTCTCCACCGTCGAAGGGAGGAAAAAAAAAAAAAAACCTGGGTGCCGAATTTCTGGCTGGCCGGCGCGGTCCCAGAGCTCTCTGAGGGATCTCCCATCGGAAGCAGATCGGAGGCGGTTTGTGGGGGATGTCTTGGGCCTTCTCGGAGGCCTGTTGGGGCCTGATTTGGACCTCTTGCGGGCTTCCTGGCCTCTTGGGGGCCTGTTTGGCCGTGTTGGAACGATCTTGGGGGCCCTTTGGACAGCCATTGAGCGTCGGAAGCCTCAAAAGGCGAGAACGTCAAAATCAGTGAAAAGCACCAGGGGAAGTAATGGTTGTGGTCTCTCAGGCCCTCTTGAGGGGCCTCCTGGAGACCGTATTGGGGGGTGGGCCGTCTGAAAATCATTTTAGCGACATCTTGGGTCGTATGGAGGCGTCTCGGGCCATCTTGGGCCGACTCGGGGCCCGCAGAGGCCAGCTGGGGGCGATTTGGGAGACTTGATGCTGGCATCCTTCTGGCACGGGCCGATGCTGGCCATCAAAAAGAGATGACGTCGAGCTCCAGCCTCGCCTCCCACATCTCGCTCAGCAGTGACAAAGACCGCTCCCACTGGTCACCCTTCTCGCACGCGCTTACCACAGCGTTGTAGCTGATGACGTCGGGCTCCAGCCTCACCTCCCAAATCTCGCTCAGCAGAGCCAGAGCTCGCTTCCACTGGTCGCCCTTCCCGCACGCGCTGATCCCAGCGTTATAGCTGATGACGGTTGGCTCCAGCTTCGCCGCCTTAATCTCGCTCAGCAGTGCCAGAGCCCGCTGCCACTGGCCGCCCTTCTCACACGAGCTGATCCCAGCGTTGTAGCTGATGACGGTTGGCTCAAGCTTAGCCTCCAACATCTCGCTCAGCAGCGCCAGAGCCCGCTGCCACTGGTCCCCCTTCTCGCATGCACTGATCCCGGCATTATAGCTGAGGGGTGCACCCGTAGGGGCACATTCGCAAGTGATTTCCCAAGGGAGCCTTGAAGATCCGTACATTCGGCGCCAGCCTCTCGGAGACGTCACGGGGGCCTCTTGGGCCCTGTTGGGACCCGCTTGGGGTCGTGTCGGAGGCCCCCAGGGCTAACGGAAGCGCGACAAGGCGAGAAATCTGAAATCCCTCCCCACGAAAAAAACTGTATGGGAAATCTACGACTTGGGCGTCCCCTCGGGCTCTCGTAGAGGAAGCCTCTCGGAGCCCTATTTGGCCGACTCGGAGGCCTCCGTGGCCGTCTTTGATGGGCCGATTCTCCACCACCACCACCACCACCACCACCACCACCACCACCACCGTAGGTAGGACAAGGAGGAGGAGGAGGAAGAGGAGGAGGAGGAGGAGGAGGAGGACGAGGACGAGGCGGAGGAGGAGGAGGACGAGGCGGAGGAGGAGGAGGAGGAGGAGGAGGAGGAGGAGGACCTCCCCACCCTCTCTCCTCCCCCGTCCTGCCTGTGGTGGTTGAGGGTTGGCCAGTCAAGGGGATCTTGGGCCGCCTCTGGGCCAGCTTGGGCCGTGCTGGCTGCGCCCTGGGCGCGCCCCGACGCGCCCAGGACCCTCCAGGGCCGCTCCGCAGCAGGCCGCCCGCCGTGCGGCCGACCGCGCCCTGGAGCCGCCGCGGGGGCCTCTCGCGAGCCACGCGGGGGCCCTGTCGGGGCGTCCAGGGGCCCTCGTGGGGGCCGCCTCTGGGTGACTGGAGGCCCCCGGCGGGGGGCGTCTTGGGCGTTGGAGGCGCGACGAAACGGCGCGAGGCCCGAAGTCAGGTAAAAAAGCCGCAGGCGAATCTATGCTTTTCACCTCGGGTCCTCTCGGGAAGGCTCCTGGAGCCCACTCGGAGGCCTCTGGGGCCGTCTGCAGGCAGGCGTGCACGCCGTCTCGAGGCCATCCTGGCCCGTGGTTGTGGAAGCATCTGGGACGCGATCCGGGCGTCTATGGGGCCCTCCGGGGCCGTCTTGGAGGCCATCTTGGGTCCTCTAGGGTCGACCTGGAGGTCGCCCGCGGCGCGTCAGGCCCCCAGCAGGCCCGCCCCCAGGAATGTCGCTCCGGGCCCTGTGCGCACACACTGACCTCGGCACTGTAGCACAGACGACGGATGGCTCCAGCTTCGCCTCCCAAACCTCGCTGAACAGGGCCAGAGCCCGCTGCCACTGGTCGCCCCTCGCACACGCACTGATCCCAGCATTGTAGCTAATGACGGTGGGCTCCAGCCTCGCCTCCCACATCTCGCTCAGCAGCGCCAGAGCCCGCTGCCACTGCCCGCCCTTTTCGCACGCGCTGATCCCAGCGCTGCAGCTGATGACGTTAGGATCCAGCTTCGCCTCCCGCATCTCGCTCAGCAGCGCCAAAGCCCCCTCCCACTGCCCACCCTTCTCGCACGCGCTGATACCAGCGCTGTAGCTGACTAGGGCTGAACCGTGGCTTACCGGCCACGAAACCTGTCCAAGGGGGCACGTTGGACCAGGCTAAAGATGTTGCGGCAAGGCGTCCGTGATGACGTTTGGCCCGAACTTCGCCTCTGCTGTTGCTGCCTGCGGCTGAAGGGTGCTGCTGCCTGTTGCATGCTGTTTCTGCTGCTTGCTTGTGCGTTGCTACCGTTGCCTGCTGCGGATTGCTGTTGTTCGCTTGTGCTGATCACCCTCGCACGCCACTTGCACAAAGGCTGCCTGTGGTCGAGCTCCGAGGCACGGTAGCCGCTCCCAGACATGTGTATGTAGTTTTTCTTTTGCCGATGCGCCGTCCAGGCGCGGCTCTTGAGTGAGTGAGTGAGTGCTTGTACTGGTTGCGCTTGCACAGCGCTGATTCCTGCGGCCGCTGCTAGATGACACAACCTGCAGCTCGTGAGTGGAGCGAGGAGCCGAGGAGCCAGGAGCAAGGAGCGAGGAGTCGGGGTCGAGTCGGGAGGTGAGGGAAGCGAGGAGCACGGAGCGAGAAGGGAGGAGCGACGGCCGAGGAGCGCGGCGGGCGAGGAGGGACGAGGGAGGGCCGGAGAGGGCGGGGGAGACAGACGCCAGCGCCCAGGAAGGAGAAGCGAGGGGCCAGGAGAGAGAGAGAGATGGAAGGCGCGAGGAGGGGCGAGAAGAGAGGAGCCAGGAGCGAGGAGAGGGAGGCGAGGGGCGAGGAGAGAGCAGGGAGGAGCGAGGAGAGAGGAGCGAGGAGCAAAGACCGAGAAGGGGGTCATTAGAACAGGCCAGCACACGCACGGCCCAATGGCCTCCGCACGCGTGTGGCCGAACATCCGATCTCCTCTTGGGTCGCCCACGGAGCTCTCTTGGGAGGCTGGCGCGGTCCCTCGGAGCTCTCTCGGGGATCCTCCATTGAAAGCCCTTTGGAAGCAGTTTCGAGTGTCTTGGGGGCCTCTCGGGGGCCCTCTGTGGGGCTTCTTGGGGCCTGATTTAGCCTCATTTGGGCCTCCTGGAGCTTCTGGGAACCCTCCTGGGAGCCTGCTGGCAATCTCGAGGGTCATCTTGAGACGGAGGGTGCGAAATGCCAGTTCCACTTCCCCCTCTTGGGGCCCCATTCGGTCCCCTTGGCGCCGTCATGGGCAGTCTTGGGGCCCTCTTGGACTGTCTGGAGACCATCTTAGGGGCCCGTTGGGCCGCCTTGGGACGATACTGGGATCACCTTGGGACGTCTGGGAACCAAAAGGCAAGAAGGTCGAAGCCCTTCAAAAGCGGAAAAGAATTCAATGACTGTGGCCTCGTCGAACCGTCGGGGTCCTCGTGGCCTGTCTTCGGGCGCTCTCGGGCCGTCCTGGGGCGCCGTTCGGATCATCTGGAGCCGTTTTGGAGCCGTCTTGGACCGCCTTGGAACCATCTGGGACTCTCCACAGCCTTTCTGGACGTCGACATTAGGCCCTCCGGGTGCGCTCGAAGGCTCCTATCCCAAATCGACCCCCAGACCCTGGCATGGTAAAGATGACCAGGGCTTACCCGTGAACTACGTCCACGAAATCTCCACGAACTGTCATGTGATGGTGGACATGCTGCCGAACGGCTCGAGCTTCGCATTGCGCGCATGCCACTGCGTGCTGCTGCTTGCTGCCGCTGTGGCGTGCTCTTGCAGTACTCGCCGCTGCTGCGCGCTGCTTGTTGCTGCAGGGTGCTGCGGATGGCCAGGTCTACTTGGCGCGTGCTGCTGCCCGCTACCTGCGGTTGCCTGCTGTTGCTGCGTGCCGCCGCCGCTGCCGCTGCCGCTGCTGCTGCTGCTGCTGCCGCCGCCGCTGCTGCTGCTGCTGCTGCTGCTGCTGCTGCTGTTGCTGCTGCTGCGTCTGCCTGCTTCCCGCGGCGTGCTGCCGCTGGTCTGCGTTGCTGCTTGATGCTGCGAGCGGATGCTCCTGGCGACCTCTGCCCACCGACGCGGCCTGCCGCCGAGATAGATCATCGAGGAGCCAGGGCCGAGGAGACTAGAGGAGGAGACAAGAGGAGCAGGGGGAGGAGGAGGAGAACAGGGTGCAGGGAGAGGCAAAGACGGACCAGCGAAGAGAGAGAGGAGCGGGGGGAGGAGCCACGCCCGGAGGGACGAGTGCGCAAACCCCCCCACCCAGGGTCAGGAGCCGATCCCCCAGGCATTCCGTCGACGTTGAGGGGGCGTTGGGTTCAGAGGCTCGAGGAGTCGATGCCTGAAAACTGCTCTGGGCGTCAGCGCTCGCCCGACGGAGCGGTGGTGGTCAGCGATTTTTGCGGCACCAGGTCGCTCCTTGGAGCTTGGGCGTTGAGAGCTCGGGGTGATCGCCTTCTGTTCCTGGGAGGCGCGACGTGCCCAATTGTGCCTATCAGCCGAACCGAACCCGCTTGGGGCACGCATCGGTGCGTCCAGTGCGCCTGTCCGGAGCCACTCGAGACCCTCTTGGGCCACTTTGTGGCCGCTTGGGCTTCTCGGGGCCTTTTGGGCCGTCCTGCGGCGATGTGGGACAGCTCTGGGGCCGGCTTGGACGTTTCTTGGGGAACCGCTGATCTTGGCTTCCTCGGACCGTCGTCGGGGTCCTCCTGGGCCGTCTTGGGCCGTCTTGGAAGCTTCCTGGCCTCGGGGGGTACGAGGAGAGGAGGAGGAGGAGGAGGAGGAGGAGGAGGTGGTCTGGAGGTACTTCTGACCGTCGTGAAGAAGCCGTCTTAGACGACGCTGTGGGCCACCTCGGGGGCGCCTTTGGGGGCTGCCTGGAGGCCCGCGAGGGCCCGCCAGGAGCGCCTTGGGAGACCTGACGCCCCCCGCCCTGGCGCACGCGCCGCTCCCGGCCGTGCTCAGTGGGAGCCCGACCACAAGAAACCATCCGCAAGAGACCCAGCCCCTCCTCGGCTGCTTGGCTCCGCTGGAGCCCCAAGGGGCGCTGCGCGCGGTCGACTCACCACCGCGCCTTCCGCGGCGCGGCGATCCTTTTCCCGCCGCGCGGGCGCTCGAGGCCGGAGCGGCACCAGCATTTCGGGGGCCCTCGCGCCGACGCCGAGCGGTCGGCGAGACCCAGCCCTGGAACCCCAGGGCGTCCCTTGATTTCTGGGGTTGGGACCGTCGCGCCTACCACTGCAAAGCCACCGAAGCCCAGGAAAACCAGGGCACCCTGGAGGCAAGCCGGGTGCTTCCTGGCATGGGCTTCCACTGTAGGGTGGATGACGTCGGGCTCGAGCTTCGTCTCCAACATCTCGCCGAGCAGCGCCAGAGCCTGCTGCCACTGCTCGCCCTTCCCGCACGCGCTGATCCCGGCGTTGCAGCTGATGACGTCGGGCTCTAGGCTCGTCTCCCACATCTCGCTCAGCAGCGCCAAAGCCCGCTGCCACTGCCCGCCCTTCTCGCACGCGCTTATCCCAGCGCTGTAGCTGCGGACGTTGGGATCCAGCTTCGCGTCCCACATCTCGCTGAGCAGCGCCAGAGCCCGCTGCCACTGCCTACCTTTACCACATGCGCCGACGGTTGAAAGATAATGGCCTGGAGAAACTGGCGAACGTGATCGAGACGCTTCGTGGAAGAGCTGCAGCGCTGCTCTCCATGGCTTCGTCCTCCCAGAACTCTTAATGCCCGCTTCGAAGGAAGGACAGCATTGCCGTGATCCTCGGCTGGCGTCTAGCATTCACAGAAGTCCGAAAGAACTCTCGAATCACAACTGCATTGCACCAAAACGAACAAGGTGCATCATCATCATACACCTCCTCCTCCTCCTCGTCCTCCTCCTCCTCCTCATCCCCCAAGGCAGCCTAAAAGAGGGTCCAGGTAGAAGGGGGTGGTGTTTGTGGGGTCTGGATATGATTCGTTCCACCCACACGTTCGCATGACACTGCTGCTGCATATCATTAGCATCATGCCTCTGTATTGCTGGGCTCTTGAAGCCTCGTGCGCATTCGAGGTGTCAAGGCCAACCAGCTTGTTGCGAGAGGGCCTCCGATTCCGCCATCGGATTCTGTTCAACGCTCTCAGGCACCCACGTCCCCTGCTTCCAGGCTCTCTACAGAGGGCAGAAAATCCACCCCCATAATAATCACCCCGACACGCGAAGCCGTTTAGCAAACGCACCCACAGAAGAAATCAAAAAGGGCAGGGCTGTTCAGCAAACGCCCGGGGCCGTTCAGTAAACACCAATTATCGAATCCGGGTGCTTTTTCCCCCATTTGACTCTTGGCAATGAGGCAGCATCTGGTCGGGGACGCCGCAAACGGCCAGCGGAGCAGTTCAATGCAACCCGCCAGCTGCAACACATTGCAATACAATTGGGGGGGCTGCAACAGATTTAGGACATGCCATACGTTCCAGGTCAGACAAATGATATTCGATTTTTTGCGTGTAATCAGATTGCCGCAGTACAGTGCAAGACTATTCTCTGGCGAGATACATTGCAAGATCATTGCCCGTCTGCAATACACTTGCCACGCATCGTCCGCGCGCATTGCAACTGCAAAGCGCGCGCGGCGCTGGAAAAAATATTCCATGCCAAGCGCACCAAGTCTTAGAGCAACTACTATCACAGATGGGCCGCCGAGGACTTCGAAAACATTCCCAGACGCGTGTCTGCCGACTGCCTCAACCTTGTACACGTCTCGAGGCCTCTTGAAGGCATGCGTTGCAAAGAACGGCGGAAGGGCGCAGTCACTTTCGCACGGGACCGTCAGGTCTTTCGGTGCGAGCGGCGTTGCTGCCACCACCCACTTTCACATGGACCCCCATTTAGGGCTGCCCATTTCGGGAAGTGGCTCGCGGGCG